AGAGATCGTCAACATCTACCAGGTTCCTAATCACAAATCTCATCTCCTTGCAGTATACATTATTTGCCATTTTCCTCTCATTTTCCTCTCCCCCACTTCACAAAAATTTGTCGTTTTATTCGTCCTCTTTTTTGTTCGCCCTTTTTCTCGTCAGATCTGTTTTGTGCAATCTTGTTGCGTAGCCAGAATGACTCAAGAGAACACCAAGTTGTGTGATTTATTAAATACCACCAACAATGATTTTATTAGCACTCCGATTGCTCCTCCCGCCACTAGTGTGGAGTCTTATGATTTTAATTGCGCTTTGCTGAATCTTGTTATGAAAGATCAATTTTCCGGTACTCCTAGTGAAGATCCATTTATGGGCTAGTGCAAGCATCTCGGAGTTGGAATATTCGCTTTGATGAGGTGACCAAAGCATTTGGGTTTATACAAGTATATGGAGAAGCTTGTATTTACAAGAAAGTGAGTGGGAGCTCTGTAGCATTTCTATATTATATGTGGATGACATATTGCTGATTGGAAACAATATGGAACTTTTGGAAAATGTGAAGGAAATTTGAAGAAGAGATTTTCAATGAAGGACCTAGGAGAAGCTGCTTCATATTAGGCATCAAGATCTATAGAGATAGATCAAGACGCTTGATAGGACTTCCACAAAGCACATACCTTGATAAGATTTTTGTAGAAGTTCAGAATGGATCAGTCCAAGAAGGGGTTCTTGCCTATTTTGCAAGGTGTGAAGTCGACTAAGACTCAATGCCCGTCAACTATAGAGGATAGAGAAAAGATGAGTGTCATCCCCTATGCTTCAGCCATAGGATCTATTATGTATGTGATGCTATGCACGAGACCAGATGTCAGCCTTGCCATAAGTATGGCCGGAAAGTTTCAAAGTAATCCCGGAGTGGAACACTGGACAGCGGTCAAGAATATCCTGAAGTACCTGAAAAGGACTAAGAAAATGTTTATCGTTTATGGAGGTGATCAATAGCTCGTCGTAAAGGGTTATGCCAATGCAAGCTTTGACACTGATCCGGATGACTCTAAGTCTCAAACCGGATACATATATATTCTCAATGGGGGAGCGGTAAGCTGGTGCAGTTCCAAGCAAAGCGTGGTAGCTAATTCTACATGCAAAGCGGAGTACATAGTTGCCTCTGAGGCAACGAATGAAGGTGTCTGAATGAAGCAGTTCATGACAGATCTTGAAGTTGTGCCCAATGCACTGGACCCAATGACTTTGTTCTATGACAACACTAGTGCCATTGCTCTAGCCAAGGAACCAAGGTCTCACAAGAGGACCAGACACATAAAGCGACACTTCAATTCCATCCGTGATGCGATCAAGGAGGAGGACATAAACATTTGTAAAGTACATATGGATCTGAATGTTGCAGATTTGTTGACTAAACCTCTTCCACGTGCGAAACATGATCAACACCAGAACTCTATGGGTGTTAGATTCATTACCATGTAATACTAGATTATTGGCTCTAGTGCAAGTGGGAGACTGTTGGAAATATGCCCTAAAGGCAATAATAAAGTGGTTATTATTATATTTCCTTATTCATGATAATCATTTATTATCCATGCTATAAGTGTATTGATCGGAAACTCAAATACATGTGGATACATAGACAAGAACATATCCCTAGTAAGCCTCTACCGGACTAGCTCGTTGATAAAAGATGGTTATGGTTTCCTAGTCATAGACATGAGTTGTCATTTGATAATGAGATCACATCATTGGGAGAATGATGTGATGGACAAGACCCAAATTATAAATGTAGCATATGATTGTATCAAGTTTATTGCTACTGTTTTCTGCATGTCAAGTATATGTTCCTATGACCATGAGATCATGCAACTCACTGACACCGAATGAATACCTTGTGTGTACCAAACGTCGCAACGTAACTGAGTGAATATAAAGGTGCTCTACAGGTATCTCTGAGGGTGTCTGTTGAGTTGGCATGGATCAAGACTGGGATTTGTCACTCTGTATGACAGAGAGGTATCTCAAGGCCCACTCGGAAATACAATATCACAATAAAGCTTGCAAGCAATGTGACTAAAGAGTTAGCCACGGGATCTTGTATTACGAAATTAGTAAAAAGACTTGCCGGTACCGAGATTGAACTAGGTATGGAGATACTAACGATCGAATATCGGGCAAGTAACATGCCGATAGACAAAGGGAATTGCATATGGGATTAGCTGAGTCCTTGACATCAAGGTTCCGACTAATAAGATCTTAGTAGAATATGTAGGAACCAATATGGACATCCAGGTCCCGCTATTGGTTATTGACCGTAGAGGTGTCCCGGTCATGTCTGCATAGTTCTCAAACCCGTCGGGTCTACACACTTAACGTTTGGTGACGATATAAGTATAGTTGAGTTGTTTTGGTGGTAACCGAAGGTTGTTTGGAGTCCCAGATGGGATCTCGGACATGACGAGGAACTCCAGAATGGTCTGGAGGTGAAGGTCGATATATAGGGCGAAGGGAATCAGAGTTCGGAAGTGTTCCGGGGGTACAGCGTTATGACCAGGAGAACCAAAAGGGGTTTCGGGGGCCCTGACAAGTGTTGGGGGGCCTCATGGGCCAAGGGAAGGAGGCACACCAGCCCCACTAAGGGGCTGTGCACCCCCCTCACCTCAGCTCACGATCACCAGGAGGGTTGGCGCGCCCCCCTAGGGCTGCCTCTCCCTTGCTTGGGGGGCAAGGCACCTAGGGGCCACCCAAAACCCTAGGCACCCCATCTTGGCCGCCACCCCCCTAGGGGAAACCCTAGGGGCGCCTCTCCTCCTCCCTTCCCCCTACATATAGAGTGATAGAGGGAGGGCAGTCGTACCCATCTATGCCACGGCGCCGCTCTCCCTCTCCCTCGTAGCCCTTTTCCTCTCCGCAGTGGTTAGCGAAGCTCTGCCGAGATTCCACCACCACCACCGCCGCCACCACGCCGTCATGCTGCTGGAGGACTCGAGCTACTACTTCACCATCGCTCACTAGATCGAGGAGGTGAAAGCATCATCAAGCCGTACGTGTCTTGAACACAGAGGTGTCGTCCGTTCTGCACTTGGATCGGGAGTTCGCGGGACGGATCGTGATTGGATCGCGAAGACTTTTGACTACATCAACCACGTTTCTTAACGCTTCTGCTTAGCGATCTAAAAGGGTACGTAGATGCAATCTCTCCTTCCGTTGATGTTCATCTCCTAGATTGATCTTGCTGAGCGTAGGAAAAAATTTGTTTCCCATGCAACGTTCCCCAACACACACATGTAACACTGAAAATAGGGATGGCGACACATACCTAAGTTCTCACAGCAATACTGAAGTTGAATCGGAGATGCCACCCATAAGCAATGGCATGAACTAAACATGGTACTGATGGTGAGCAATTTGAGCAATTGGAACATGTTGGCCTTCTCGCCATGGTACTAGTGGCATGAGGCTGGAGTGGAAGGAGGTCGGAGGTACTATGGTTGGCAGACACATGCCTAGTGCAGATTCTGGTGACTTCACGTTGTTGCATTCATCTACACCTTCTGTTGAACACCTTCCAGGCGTCGCCGTAGGAGGAAGTACTGCCCTCGCTGCACTAGTGTTCCCTCCTAGGCACTCAGTCGAATAGGTGGTGGGCTGCAGCGGAGGGTTGGCTGTGACAAGCTTGAGGACATCCGATTGCTCAAGGGGCGGGCTTGGCGAGTCCTCTAGAGGCCAGATGATGGATGTAGGCGCACCTTCCAGAGGAAGGGACTTGACCACAGGGACACGGATGGCGTCGGTGTCGACTACGTCCAGGTCGATGTCGAGCACCGTAGAGGCCGGAAGCTTGGTGATGACATCTGAAGGATTCGATGCTGGAGCTGTGGAGCCTCTGATGAGATGGTCGATGTCGCGCTTGAGGTTGAGGTCAACGCTCGCAGCAGATGCCATCGGGGCGGTCACCCTCTGAGCCTGGACTCGGGGAGATGGAGAGTCCAGCGCCGCCACTACGGGAACACGCGTAGATGTTGTCGTGTGCGCGATTGGAGCGGCGGTCGTGGCTGGCGTGGGGGTGTCTGTAGCCGTCGCCGCTTGCACGGAGGCCGCAGTCCAACTGGTGGTGGACACGGCGCCGCGCAGGACAGATGGAAACGCGGCCGAACTCGTCGCTGATGAAGCCAATGCTGCTGCTGCAGGGGCGCACCTGGTGCCGTCGTCCGTACACACCTTCTGGCGAAGGCGGCCTATAGCCTCGTCTAGCTTGGTGTGGAGGTCGCCGAACGCCGTCTCCATGAACTTCTCCAGCCTCGCCTTGGAGGCGGCGAAACTTCGGTCCAAATTGCGAGCTAGCTGGGCCTTCAGAACCTCATACGTCGACAAACCCTCCGGCTAGAGGGTCGTCAGGAGCTCCGCGCGCCGTCGCAAGTCCATGGAATTGATTGGGAAAAAATTTGATGGATTTTTGGTGCATGATCAAACGTCTCTGATGCCAATTGTGAGGATCTTACTACTAATTCATTCAACTTAGAGCAGTACACTCGAATTACAGAAGGATTGAAGCTTACCAATGAAGAATTTGAGAGGAAGAAGAAGAAGAGCTTAAGCCGAGGCCTCCGATCCTAGCCAAGCCGAAGCCTTCCGTTCCGGTCCAAACCCACTTGTTCGTGGCATCTTCTCCCATATTTATAGCAGCCGCTGCCGAGCAGGCCAAGGTCCAAGAGTAGCCCATGGTCTGGCCCAACAGTGGGGTAAAGGTATGCTGACACATTTCTGTGCCGAAAAGTAATCAATAAAGTGGAGAGTATTCCTGTCAAAAACTAAATAAAAAAATAAAGTGGAATGTATTCCCGTAAAGAAAAAATGTTGCGAAAAGCAGCTTGGCGCGAATGTGAAATTTCGGGCGCCAAAAATCACAACTGAAACGCCCCTATAAGAGTGAGGCCTGAGAGAAATCTGATCTGATCCTTCAACAGCGAATTCTCTTGAGAAGTAGTAGTACTACTATATGGAGCCATGGGAGAAAAACGGGAGCGAGAGCGCCAAGAAGACGAAGACCTCGCCGGCGCCGCCGGTGGCCGCCCTCGTTGATGATCTCCTGGGCGAGATCTTCCTCCGCCTCCCCGACATGGCGTCACTTGCCAGCGCCGCCCTCGCCTGCAAGAGCTGGGGCCGAGTAGCCTGCTTCCCAGCCATCTTCCGCCGCTTCCTGTCCCTTCGCAGGCCCCCACTCGTCGGCTTCATCCTCACCGACCGCAGCGACATGCCTGTTCCTCACCACTGCCCTAACCCCCGCTTCGTCCCCGCCGAATCCCGTAACCCCTACGTGGTCTCCGCCGCCGTTGACGGCGACTTCTTCTTCGAAGACCTCCCCGCCATAGATTCGGACGACGACGGCGAAGGGGACTACTACGAGGAGTGGCGCCTCCGCGGCTGCGACGGCGGCCTCCTCCTTCTTTCCCGCGGCCGCTATGCGCTGGATCTCGCCGCGTATGACCCCCTCGCGCGGACGGTCGTCTTCTTCCGCCCTCCCCACGCCTGGCGCTATTCGTCCCACATCGTCCGCTACGCCATCTTGGTGGACGATGCCGACGCCTCGTTCCGGGTCATCGGCATGGAGCGGTGGGCCGGCTCACACTCCGCCGTCTTCTCCTCCCGCACCCGCGAGTGGGACATGATTGCCTCGTCCGATACGAACCATGCAGTGTATAGCTTTATCCGATGCTGGAGCGACGGCATGCCGGCGGGCCGCTACGTGTACTGGCGGTCGGACACCAAGAAGTCCCGGCACTGCAAGGACGACGAGGTGATCTTGGTGCTGGACATGGAAGCAATGGTGTGGTCGGTTATCAAGCCGCCATTCCCTCCTGGCGAATCGTACTGCGTCGCGGACATGGCGGAGCACGGCGGGCTCTGCATTGTGTCCAGCAAAGAGCAGTGCGTGCAGCTCTGGGTCCGTGACAGCAATGCTGAGTGGATGCTCAAGAAGGAGGTTTCGTTGCTGAATGAGTTTGGATACCTGAAGAAGCTTCGTCTTGAGGAGTGGATGAAGCGGGTGCGCATCCTGGCAATGAAGGCTGGCTATGTGTACATGGAGTTTTGGTCCATAAGGAAGCCCCATTCATATCTGCTTGTACTAAATCTGAACACCACAAAGCTGGAATTCTTCTGCAACAAGTCGACCGAGCCTCACAGAGGTCCTGCGTTTCCGTTCTTCATGCGGTCGGCACCTTTGCCTGCTCCAGATGATGATAAGAAATTTTAAGGTGCTTGATACAATGAAGTAGGTAATCTCCCCTTTGATATGTTAATTATATTTATTTCCTTTTGGTTGTACTTCCATAGATTTAGCTATTTAAGGATAGGTGTAGATTGCTCACCCAGATCAGGATTTGATGCCTAATAAAGCCAGTACATGATAAAGTAGTTCGAAATTTACATAATATAATACTCGGTGCTTACAAATTTTGTTGGTATTGTCACAGTGTGTCATTGCTTAACCCTATTGAGAAGGGGCTCCCCTGGGCACAAACCAATTTCCCTAGAACTCAACATCATGTGTAAAACTAGTTTCATATTTGTGACTTGATTACATAAAAGACTGGATCAACTTGTAACTCCATTTTGTTTATTGGGATAACCCTAGTGTTCTTAAAGTTCAGAAAGAACTACTTGGTTGCTGACTTGTAATTGTTCAGTTTTCTCAGACACCACATATTGCTAGAATCAACGATGCGAGTATACATATTGTAGGTGAAAAATGATTAATTATGTAGATAGGGCAAGTAACTGTTTTTTCTTGTTAGTTCACCTGGCACCATCGCTTTATATAGTCAACACCTGAATTCTTAAACGCTGCTTCAGTTGGTTTTCAGGATTTGTAGTTTGTTATTAACTCTGTACTGGGTCATAGTTTGCACCAAAGACTTGTAAATTTGACTTTATATATCTTCTTCAGTTATTCTGTTTGGTTGGCAAACTTAACTGTCATTAGTTTTCCTCCTCGCTTGAATGGTTTTGCAGAATGCGCTATTTATTTGGTTAGTTCGAATGCATGAATCATGATCATATAATATAATATTTCTCCATTTCCATGTGTAATAGTGGAAAACATGCATTTATATACCCATGCCAGTTCCAGATGATTCAGTGACTTGTTATATTTTGTGGTGGGTGGCTTACTGGCTTTGGTTTCTAGTTTCTAAAAGATAATCTTTGCATTTCAGGTCAAGTTGTTACATCTAGCTTCGATTAGCCGAAGTTGGGTTAACTGGGGCATAAGAGCGTCATCCAGATGTCTGTTTGAATTGGAATCACGGAAGCCGATTGGATAACCATCTTTTGTCTTGCAATCTCTGTTTTCACATGGACTGTAGGCATGGCAGAACAGCCTTGCTCCGACAACAGCTGCTGCTTTATCTGAATTTAGTGTTTTTCCAGTTATGTTACGCATTTCCTGTTTTATTCAAACTTCCTATCCGAACTGAGATGGTTTTATTTAATTTCAGTTGTGTTGCCTTGTTGCTTGAACGTGTGTGACAACTGAATTCTTACTGCTGTGTAGTAGAGTTCTTCGGTTTTTCTCTTTATATATGCAGTCTTTATTATTAGTGTCCTCCTTAGTTTACTCTTAACTGTATTGGAAAACCTAAATGCAGGTGCAACATTTAGAAACAGGCGTGACCTGCTGTAATGATAGTGTCGTGTTTACAGTTGTAGGTTCTCAACTTTGCCTCTGTCAGCTTTATCGCCACACTCCTAATTTGCATGTTGTTGATGCCCTGATTTGAAAGGAAGCCGGGACACCTGTGGGCTGCGAATCAACTTAAAATGTGGATAAATGTGCTCTATCAAATGGGTGCATCCTGGTAGCACGAGCTCCATCAAATGAGTTCAAGCCTGCAAGGACTCTTCCGATGGTGCATGTTTTTGTAGTGCTAAGGAGTATCACTGATGCAGCTAAGTAAGGGAGTGTTCGGAGTCCCTCCGCTCCAGACTCAGCTCGCGGAGCTGCAGGCTAAAATAATGAAGCTGGAAAATAGGTGCTCCGCAGGTCCTGCAATCCCGTGGAGCTGGTGGATAGCCGAACAGGCCCTAAGTTATATATGGAGTATTGTGAGATGTGCTTAACCTGTCCAGTATACCTTTCTTGTGATGAAATGCCTCCATGGATGAATAGAATGTTGCCTTTTCTCTAGGTAGCCGTGTGTGCTGTCTGGAAAGCCGGAAATGATTCTTGCTTCAGTTCAATGGAGTGTAGCCTTATAATACTACCAGTAGGTATTTTCAAATCAAACTACTCAACGGGTTTGCGAAGCCAGCGGTGCAGTGGAGCGAGGCTGCCAATCCTGGCTGGCGTTGAATTCTTTCATAGGAGAAGGTTGGGGGGCTCAGAGTGGAGACGGCTGAACATCGCCGACCCCGAGCTTGGAAGAAGATGGTAGAGAGATCGTTGTCTGTTCGACCTGATTGTGGTTTTGTTCTTGGTGTGTTTGACTGTTTGTAGTGGCGTGTGAGTACACACACACACACACACACACACACACTTTTGGACTTTTGGTGAATTGGTGATCCTGTTCGAGTTGTGATATTTCTCGTAGTCTTCTAGTCCAGTAGTTAGCTCTGGCCTTGTGTTCCTTTTTGTCCAATGATTAGAATAAAGAAGCGGGCAACAACCCCGCAGAATTTGCGGAGAAACTACCGGCTCTGAGTTCACTGGTCTTCACAAAATCATACCACATGGAGTTGGTAGGAAGGAAACCAGGATCCCCTCGCTCCTGGTAGTAAGAGGCAGGGCTTGATTTCTGTGTAACCTTGAGCAAATTCTCTGGATTTTCCCGCCTTCTTGATCTGACCAGCTTCAGCAAGAGACCGTGCAGACATGGCTAACTTGATCTGACCAGGACCGTTGGCTGCTGGCAGCTGACGCCAATGAAAACACCAAGACAAACACCAAAATATTACTGTTTCTACTACCCACTAAAAAAAGGGGAAACTGCCGCGCGTCCTCAGGACGGGCGGGCAGAGATCTGGATTCAGTTTTTCCGGTCCTCCCCGTTCGATCTTTCTCTCCAAGCCGCTGCCGGATTCTGCCGCCGGGCAAAGCCCGTGGAGGCAGCCCGCGGTGGCGGTGGCGCTCTCGGTGGTTCCGCGGGGCCTTCCCCGGCAGCGGCTCGAAGAGAGCGGTGGCTGGGGCAAGAAGCGCAGGGGTGTCACGACGATCTCGTTGCAGCAACACCGCCTAGGACTTTAGATCGGGGGGAACTTGTAGCTGGTCACCACCCTCCTCTCGCTTTAATAATGCCCAAGCGGCCAAGCCAAGGCAAGGCGCGTCTTCCTGTCCGTATCATTCCCAACAACCGTTACAGCCGCACAAAGAAAGAAAGCGAAAAAAAAATACAGCGAAAGAGTGTGACGGCAAGTGGACGACACGCACAACTGGTTTGCTCAAGTGGCTTGTGATTTGTGAAGTAGCGAGAGCAGCATTTTCCTTTAATTATTATAATGAATCCTTGGAATTTCGAAAGGAAGAGCGCGACGGCGGATCACTAGCCACCAAAACCTCTCCTCCTGGTGGCGTCCTGTGACGCCCGTACGTGCTTGGGCACGCCATCGCCGGCCGGCCGGGTCGAGGCTATCCACAGGCACAAACCTCCACAACGACAACGACTCCCGAAGTACTTATGTACTCCCTACGTTCCAATTTACTTGTTGTGGTTTTAGTTTTAAATTAAAATAAAATCACGACGAGTAAATCGGAACAGAGAAAGTACTCTACTACGAGTACAGAACCAATCGCTCGCTGCCGTCTAAGTTAAAAAAGGACTGATTTTTTTCTGCAGCGGCAGCACCGAAGCATGAAGGAAAGCAGTGTTCATCGACACACTCAACTCTCGCATGATGCTTGCGGGCGATGGCAAAACCAGCACACTGACTTGAGCGGCCGTGACCAGCGGCGAGACATCGGTTGGAGTATCAGATCGGCCGAGTACTTGCCATCGAACCCCGGGAGATGGCAGCAACATGTGACGTCACTGACGGGGTGAGTGGCTGCGGACGGAGGCAATGCCCGCCCCATGCTGTCCTTTGATTGCGTGCGAGCTCCCTCGTCGCCTGGCCGGCCCATTCTTTCCCCAAATGCTCTCAACCTGTAGAGGATCTAGCCCAATGAGCCAGGGTGGGCCAACAGTAGAGCTGTTCATGAAAATAAAAAAAATTCTTAATATTTTTTAGCATTTTTCCTATGCTATAAAGCTATTCAAAAAATCTCAGGGTGGGCCGTGGCCCACCCTGTCCACCCTCTACCTCCGTCACTGTGCTCAACAGAGCGCTGAACCAGAAACAGAGGGGCCAATCCCAAACAGTCTTCCAATTCCAATCCACACGAGGCGAGCGCTCCTGTAAAAAAAATTAAAAAAATGCGAGCCGAGTGCTAATTGCCATACTTTTTTCAAAGGTGAGGAAATTTTTGCCTCTTTTTCATTAAAAAAAAGGTAGCGTCACGACATCCCAAACAAATTGCATAGCCTACTCTCGCGGCATAATGTTGCTCAAATGCTTAGCGCCTGTTAGGGGTATCTTCAACGCGACTCTCAAAACGCCCAATGTGGTGGTGGTGGTGGGTGGGGGGTGGGGTGGGGGGTGAGAGAGAGTGTGTGTTTTATTTTAATTATTTTGGTGGGGTCCACCTGTAAGTGGGATAGACAGTGAGAGGGTGTTTTTTTGCTTTTATATTTTTACGGTAAGTTCCGCATGTAAGTGGCTTATGCAGAGAGGGGCAAAAATGTTTAGCAAACGCCCTGAAAATGGTAAAAGCCCTTTGACTAGACGAAACGACAGAAAAGACATTTCTCTAAGGGCACCTATGGGCCTAGATTCTACGTAATAAGTACCTTCAATCCAAAATCTTGTCCTAGGTGACGGTAAGGCCGACTAATTCGCCTTTTTGGAAAGGACTGATGAGAGTGAAATCAGTATTTTTTAACAAGACAAAATTTGTAGTTGGAAATGGTACTTCCACGAGATTCAGGGAGGATACATGGCTAGGAGAGACGCCCCTTGCACTCCAATATCCTTCTCTCTATAATTTTGTTCAGCGAAGAGACGCTTACGTTGCAACAGTATTACAGTCCAATCCTCTTAATATTCAATTAAGGAGGACGTTAGCAGGAAACCGTTGGGAAGGTTGGCTCCATCTTGTGAGAAAATTGATGGATGTCCTGTTGGGGAACGTAGTAATTTCAAAAAAAATCCTACGATCACGCA